CATATATGTTAACATATATATTAACATATAAGTAACATATATGTTACTTTCACGTAAAAACTAATATATATATATATATATATATTATTTCTAACAATTATTAAAAATATATTTGATTCTTAAAAAGAATCTTGAATTGACAATTATTAATTAAATATTTTATATTGTATTTTAAAATTTTTAAAAATATGTTTGGTAAGTGTATTTCTTAAATTAAGTGTATTAAGTATGATAAGTGCATTTCTTATATTTATTTTGATTTTGATTCCATACTTATTGATTGTATTCCTAAAAAAAAAATTCGATAAAAAAAATATGCTAATAAATAGAGATTTTGTTAATTTACTATTTTTAGGCAACAATTAATGAAATTGACGGGAAAATATTTATAAAAATAAATTATGTTAATCCTCATTAATATATTAATAGATGTGATTTTAAGGGCCGACCGAAATTATTAATGACCTTAATGGAAGGATATATTTTGTGTATGTTTTGGTAGCTGATTATTATGATGATGAAATATAGCTCTTGTGGTGGTTTGGTAGATCCCGTGGCTGTGCCTCTGCCAACACCGCCAATAGTGAGAAATGTTTCCATCATATATTTATTTATTGCCAGACACAAACGTTTGTCCTGTCTCATTCTGTGACCAAAAATAAATAAATGATCTGCTGATAGATCTGGTGCCTTGATTGCGTGGTGACAGGCTGTCACCTTTCTAGCGCCTTTTTAGGACAATGTAATTTAGAGTTAGCTTATGAAGAGCCAACACTTGTACCCTTATTCGTGATTTATTAAATTTCGTGAGAAATATATGTTTTCATCTTAGTTGCATGCACAAGGTCTTGTCCCCTGATTCATTATTGGAGTTTTGTGTCTTGTCCTGATTCATTAATTGAGTTTTGTGTCTTGTCCTTCTCTATCACAGTTGTTCATTTTCTGAGCAATGTTATAGGTACATAATATTGTACATATGGGTTGTTATGCCACAAATACTTGAACCGCTGGACCGCTCCTCTTCGAACCGGGTTACGTCTCTTTCATCGCCGGTGCCTGCAAAACACGCCGGGGGTGGTCTCGGCGCGAATACTCCGACACTCAAGTCAGTGGTGGTCTAAAGGAAAAACGACAGAATAACGAGAGAATTTTTATGTTTGTGTTGTGTAAATGAAATAACCTGCGCCCCTTTTATAGATAAAGTCATCTAGAGATTGGAGAGTTCTTATCATAATAGGAGTCTTCCCATCAGATTAGGTCAAAATCCTAAGAATACTTGAGGTTGCGAAACTCTTCATGACTTGAACACGATACCACCCCTGGGCTCGGGTCTCCCAGCGGAACGTCTAGCTACCTAGGCGCCAAGGTGCCCTGCCTAGCTCACGTTGAGCTAGCCTCCACCTACCACTCATGTACTCCAAAGGTACCATGGGCTACGCCTACCAAAACATCCGCCTACCAAAGCATCCGCCTACCAAAGCATCCGCCTACTCAAGCCTCCACCTACCAAAGCATCCGCCCACCAAAGCATCCGCCTACCAAAGCATCCGCCTACCAAAGCATTCGCCTGTTAACGACTAGAACCCGAGTCGCAACCGGTCCTTCATGAGCCGCTACTAACGACCACATCATGGGTGTACATAGTATTGTACATATGGGTGTACATAATATTGTACATATAAGTGTTATGTACATATTTATGTACATTTATTATGTACATATTTTACATTTTTCAATTAGCGTACGTTACATCTATTAGCGGCTTTAATGATTATGGAACTTGTCCTTATGATGGAATCCCCAGAGTTCAATAATTAGGGAGACCAATTCTTTTTACCCTCCACTTTTTGTGAAACTAGTACGTATCACACGGGTTGTATTGATTTTGGTAAAGTTTATAAATTAAAAGCTATTCATCAATAAGTTATAACAGTAATACAAAGGAGCCAACAGTTGGCTCCGTTATGGAGCCAACAACCAATTGGATAACTCCATGTGGGGTTGTCCCACATTAAAGTATTGTGGGTCAGCCCCACCTGGAGTTGTCTCATTGGTTGTTGGCTCCGTAACGAAGCCAACTGTTGGCTCTTTAGAACATTTGCCAAGCACTCACAAAATTAATGTTTGTCACGAAAAAGTCATATATTATTTAAAACTTCCTTCCTCTAATTCTTTGATATTTTCGAAATATAAACACCACGAAATAAAATTATAGTGAAAATATGTAATATTGTGATAATAATAAAAATATGATTTATGGGGTGAAGTTTAATTTACATGGAATATAAGAAAAGTTGTTACCTTGAAATGTGGATTTTGAGTATATATTCTTCTTCTTCTTCTTCTTCTTTTTTTCAATCATTCTCATTTTTATACCAAATACATTTCAATATTTAGAATTTTTAGTTTTTGTTTTGTTTTAGTAGAGATTTGTAATTTCGATTGCATCTTTTCTATAACAATATTTACAAAAATAATTACTTTAAAAAAACAGCAATATCGTATCATTTGTAGCTTAAACCATACTGATGATAGAAATCAGAGGACATGTAAAACATATTTTTTAAGGAGAAAATATTTCATAATTAACTTGATTTGTGTATATCTAAATTTTATTTTTCATGGTGTAAACTTCGTCATGGATCCTAAATAAATAATTAGGTGTACACGAAATACTTTTTCTTGATGCGGAAGACGACATAATTTGTGATCTTGATCTTGATGATCACACAAGATTGGATCTATTGTTAAATCTAAATCAGTTTCTCCCTCCTGACCTTCTCTTATCTGATGGGAAAAATACTGCGTACCCTAATAAGAGGAGAGAGGACCAATTTATACAGGGGTATCTTTAGATCTGGTACGTCCATCAAATATCCAGATTAATGGCTTAGATTTGTTTTTAATAAATAAAGGCCTAACCCAATAGGATAATTAATTCTGAGCCTAATGCTTTCGGGTCACATTTTCTTATACATGGATCTTGTGTATATGTCATTTGAATAAAGCATTCATTTTTTCGGCTTGGATTCATAATGTATAATTTTTTCACATGATAAATAAGGATGTGGAAATCGTATCCTATGTATATGTAATGGATAAGTATGAATATTAATTGTGTATCCCAAATATTTGAATGTTATTTTTTTTTTCCGGAACGATAAAAATCTTATAGAAGGCACAAATGTGCAAATACAAACATCAACTGACAACACACAACCACCAGCCGAATAAATTTGAGAGGACATGACGAAGCCCGCCTAAAGACGACCCTAACAGGGTAATAAACACCCAACACAAAGACTCGACCCTAATAGGGTAATAAACACCCAACACAAAGACTCAACACGAAAACGACCCCAACAGGGTAATTCCCGAGTGTGTGGTCCCAAAAGGATAATAAGTTCACACTCGAACTGACTGAGGCCAAGGGCCCAAACCTAAAACACAACAACTAACAAAAACACCAACACAAAATAGAAAAAGAACAAAGACACTAAAACAACTACACATTAACAACATAGCCTCTCTCAGCAGATACCACCAGAAAGGACAACGGACAAATCTGATTCCAGAGGAAAGCTTCGAAGCTCTGATACCCCGCCCGTCACTACGAAAGGCCTAGCAAGACGATTATCCAAACCTCAAAAACAATCCTAGAACCTGACCCGCATCCAGCCGCAAGAAGCTACGAGACCGGTAAAATTTCATTTTTGGTCCATTATATTGGTCATTTTCCAGAAATGGTCCACTAATTTGGCGGACATCAAACTTGATACATTAAGTTGTAAAATTCATCATTTTTGGTCTATTAATCACTCGGGCTGGATAATGAGCCTACGTGGCGGACATCAAACATGTCCACGTATTCGCCCGATAAAACGCCACGTAGGCTTATGGACCAAAAATGATGAATTTTACAACTTATTGTATCAAGTTTGATGTCCGCCAAATTAGTGGACCATTTCTGGAAAATGGCCAATATAATGGACCAAAAATGAAATTTTGCCCCACGAGACCCCCCAATCGGCTAACACCACTAGCTAATCTGACACCCACCCAAGGCAGCCTAACACTACTAGCCTACGCCGGGGACCATCGGCCTCCCCGTACTCATATCCGAGATAGGGGAAGAAGGGGACAAGTGCTTCCCTGCTCGACCTCGCCGACCCAGACCGAATAGGACACCTCCAATCAAGCCAGCCCGCAAGGAAAGGACCCGACCCGCCCTCTCCCCACGAACGAGGATCCGACGGCCACATACCCACTGATGACGGAAAAGTCTGCCCGCAGTAACCCTCCAAACTTGTCGAGAAAAGGTGCACCGACCCAACCAAATCAAGCGACACAAGCATCTTCCACTTGCGACCACACCCCGCCTTGCCCCGATACCTCTGGATTCCGGCGACCTTCAAGCGGAAAGAAAGAAAAGCCACCGAACCCTAGCCCTAATCCAGCGGCGATAGAACAAAGACCGGGAGCACCGCCGCCATGGAGGAGCGGAGGAGGCCGTCCGCGGACAATCCCAAACGGCCGCTAAGGGAGTCGAATTTGCGCACAGAGAAGGAGGCCGACGAGAGCGATTTGGGGGAGAGAGCGATTTGGGGGAGAGAGCGATTGAATGTTATTTATTAAATAAACATTTGTTACATTTTGCATGGAAAGAGCTGATTTGTTGTAGTTATTTATATAACACTTTTATAGCTTAATTTTTGAAAAAAATTATAAAATACAATTGAGAATACAACATGTCCAATTCCATTACAGTGTTATATTTTGTTGGTAAGAAAAGAAAATAAAATATATATGCACTGTTCAGAATTAAATAAGATTTTATTTTTTAATCTGTAATTTTAAAAAATCTACTATAAAGAAAAAATACACTCAACAAAATCGTTACCATAAAAGAATAGATTATGATATCATTAAAATTGGTTGTGTTGATATCCTAGTTGAGTCATCAAGAGATTAACGGCCCATAGATAATGAACCGAGCGAAGATGATCTTAGAACCCGGACCATACCTGGGTCACCGCGAGAGCAGAGCTGGCCGACCAACAAAGTTTCCCAGGATGATGTGTAACACTCCGCTTTTAAAACGTTTGAAAATTAGAGTAAATTTTTCTCTTTTTAAAAACTAATAATAAATTTTGAACAATATTTGAATTATCTTGGGATGTTCCCTTTTTCTTTTCTACGTTTTGTATAACCAAACTGAAAGAATGATGCTCTCACATCTCTTACTTTCTCTCTGTAGAACCTTTCCCCTCCCAATCACTCACCTCATCCTCTTTCTTTTCCGTCATCATTTCCGAATAGGCTCTGCCGGCGTCCGTCGTCGCCGGCGGTGAGCCGCCCGCCCTCGGAGGCTCAGCTCGCCTTCCCCTCAACCGACTCTTCTCCAATTTTTCATGGCAACATATCTCAGTCCCACGCACCAGACTCCATCGACACCCATGACTGATTCTCAGTTAAACCTCTCTGACGACTTTAATGGTAATATCACAACATGGACAAACAATTTCAAAAAGGTCATCAGATTTGTTGTAAAGTCATCTGTACTATCGACCGACAAACTCCACCTTCCCCAAATTAGACGTCCATCGGCCCATGACAGTACTCGTCCTGGCGCCACAACGCCATCTGATGGGTCGATTTTAGCTTTTTCAGCGCCGTCGTTCATGGCGGTCATCTCTCCGACAAGATCTGCCCCACCAACCGACTATGGCAACCTAACAGATCAAGCCACTGGTAACCCTTGGCCGGTACTATTTGGCTCACTCCCGGCGAGAACCCTCCCTCCGCCGTCAACCACTCCTCCTATCGCGATACCAGACGATCTTCTTCTCTCAAACCAAGACCTTATCCACAAAAAACAAGATTTCCCCTTAACTCACTTTGCAGACCGACATATTGGGCCACTCCCAAGGCCCAATTCTAAATCCTCTCTTTTTTCTTGTGGGCCAAAAGCTTCGGCCCAATACCTCTCCCTCCCCAATTCTTCTACCCACCAAAAACAACTCCAGACCAGGTCCAATACTTCAGGCCAACTTCTACAAATTCATAACGGGCTCAACCATCATCATCTACCTTTGCCCCAGGATGAACGCCGGGCGTCGAACCAGTTAGCATCAACCACCACCTCACCACCTTTGATGTCGGCCGGCGACCCCAACTCTGACTCCAACGTCGGTGCCGGCCATCCTCAGACGGGCGAAGCCCTGACCCACGCAAGCTCCCATGCTGCCCCGCCGTTCCCTGGCCGAATTACTCCCGCAGAGCTCGAGCTCCTCACACCGGCCATCTCCAACTCCGGCAAGGGCATATCGACATGCTTTCCCCCGTCGGTAATGGATCCCAACAAACAGCCGCCAAGGGGCTCCGATATCCAAGGACTGACCCCACTCACCTTCCATCCCTAACTAGCGACATAGGGCCCATGACCAACCGGAGCTCGTTCCTTTCGAGATGCAGATTTCGACACATCCACCGCCAAACCGACTCAAAAGAGCCTAATGTTTGAGCACTTTCGAGACAAGCAGAGCGGGACTGTTTCTCGCTCCGAAGAAGGCAGGTTCAAGGTAAGTTTTCCTGAGCCCACTATTATTTCTCTAGCCGAGCAGTTTGAGAATGCCCTTATATTGAAGTTTTCATTCACTGTCCTTTCCCTCCGGGATTTATCTGTCGGTCTTGACAAATTGGGTTTCAAGGATAGAGTGTCTCCTAAGTTTCTTAACTATACCACGATCTACTCTTTTTTAAGTTGAAAGAGGATTGCAATCATGTTTGGATTAAGACGCGTCTTAGTATCTTCAGATGTCCTGGTCGGGTGTTCAAATACACCCTTAATTTCTCCTTCATCGAGGAATATCCCATCGTCCCGGTGTGGTGCTGCCTTCCAGGCCTCTTACCACACCTTTTCGACCTGTCTACTCTTTTCTCAATTGCTAGCTGCATTGGCAACCCTGTTGAGATTGACGTCGCTACGGAAACTCGGTCGCCACTATCTGTCGCACGGGTGTGTATGGAGATTGACCTCAGGGACGAGCTCATCAAAAAGATTGAGCTCGACCAAGCGGAAAATACCACTATCCAAAAAGTGGTCTATGAGAGAGTCCCCCCGTTCAGCACCATATGCCACATTGTAGGGCATGGGGCTGCAGAGTGCTACACTAGGGGTAACAAGCCCCGTCCTGACCTGCCCCCTCGCTGCCGCGTAGAGAGGCGGGGCTCTGTTGCTGCCCCGTGGAGCTCTAAGAAGAAGGGTAAGGCCCCTACCCATGGTCCTGATCCGATAGGACAAAAGGGCAAGGGTAAAGGCAATGTCACCTTTGAGGACACCCGGCCCAATGAGGCTATCCTAGATAGGTCTAGGCCAAAGCTACAGGCCTTTTTCCCCACAGTCCCTCTAGTCAGCACCCATGGATACCCACTCTCGCTTGTCTATGCTTTACATAGAGACGGAGGATGGTATACATGCTCCCTCCGATCACTTAGGAGCTTCGACCAGCTCCCCTTTTGATGATGATGACCTTTTAGCCGATGAGCTAGATCACACTATCGTCTCATTGTGCATTGATGCCCCCCTTCCCTGCTCCCCACTAAGACATTAGAGCCATCCCCCTTCCACACCTCATCGTCTGAGACTGTGCTTCTCTTACCCCCACCTGATGGACATTTTCTGACCCTGACTTACACCACTCCCGCCTCACCCACCCGTGAGCTAGGATCGACAGGCCCTCTAGACCAGGCGCAAAGCTCGGCTAGAATGGCGCTCCTACAAAGCACGGATGTCTTGGAGCACCTTCAACTCATTCTCCTACCTTCGGAGTTTCCCCCTTTGTGTGAGGGTCTTGCCTAGGAGGTCCCAGAGCACCGGAGACCACAGACCAGATCGAGGACTGCGCATTTCTCTGCTAGTCGAGCTCTGACTCTACCAGACATACAGACACAACATAACTACGGACAACTCTAATTAGGCAGAACCACTGACGTTTGATATGTCAGTCGCATCGCTTACATGGAATGCCCGTGGTCTGGCTAATAGGACCACCCTTGCTCATGTTAGATCTCTCATTCGTGAGCATAACCTTGACTTTGCGACTTTTTTAGAGCCTATGACTCGTGACCCCTATTTTGACGTATACTCGCGCCGCTTTGGCTTTCATGCTGGGATGGGCAACACCTCTAACAAGATTTGGTTTTTCTATTTGCGTGACTTTACTTGTCAGATCCTTCGTGATACTGATCAGGTCTTGCACGTGAAGCTCACCGCCACCCACCTTCTAGAGCCGATCTTCCATACCTTGGTCTACGCCAGCTGTGCGAGGGTTGGTCGTTATAACCTCTGGAACACCATGCGTGAGATTAATGAGAGTATGGAGAGATTACCGTGGATGGTTAGCGGTGATTTCAACATATTTTTGCATCCCGATGAACGCATTGGTGGAGTATCGGACCGCTCAGCGGAGATCTTAGATTTTTCATGTTGTATCAGATTGTGAGCTAATCGATGCTGGATACGAAGGGGCTCCCTTTCCATGGAAGAGGGCCGGAGTCAAGGAGAGGCTCGACCGCGCTCTATACTTAGAGGCATGGACGAGGGTGTTTGCGACCAAGTTGTGACATACCTACCTCGAATTGGATCCGACCATGCTCCTTTTCTGATTCGATGTTGGTTCTCTATTTCCCCTCGACGAGCCTCCTTTCGTTACAAGAATATGGGGGTCCGCCACCATTCTTATTAAGATATTGTTAGAGCTTCCTGGCAGCAGGCTACGCACCTATATGGGATGCGCAACCTGGAGGAGAAGCTCAGAAGACTACGCCGCGTTTTGAAGAAGTGGAACTGGACGAGTTTTGGTGACATTTCTCAGCGCCTTACTGCAGCTCAGACTGCGTATGCGGAGGCTGAACGGACCTATGACCTGGATTCTTCGCCAGAGGATAGGGCCGAGATGCGGCGCTGCCATGCTGAGTACCAGTTGCGCCTCCTCATGGAGAAGGATTTCTGCAAGCAGAAAGCAGTTGTGCGCTGGGTGGCTGAGAGGGAGCGTAATACCAAGTTCTTCTAGGGATTTGTGAGGCAGAAGCGAGTCAAGTCATATATCCATAGTATTGAGGATAATGGATCGCCTGTGATCCAGGAGTCCCAGCTACGGGAATCGGCTAGGGCTTACTTCCACTCTCTCTTTTCCTCTGAGCGGGACTTGTTCACGCACCCTGACCCTGCCCTTTTTCCGCCATTCCGCAGTCGGTCGACCTCGTCGATCTCTGTGACCTCCCAAGTAAGGAAGAAGTCAGGGAGGCTGTGTTTGGGATCGATCCCAACAGCGTCTCTGGACCAGATGGTTTTTCGTCCCTCTTATTCCAGTCTTGTTGGGAAATTGTGGGAACTGACGTAGAGAAAGCTATGAGGGATTTCTTCTCTGGACACCAGATGCCAGAGTCCTTTACAACAACCTCCATCATTTTGATCCCGAAGAGATCAGGACCTAGTTCTTGGTCCGACTATAGACCTATCATCTTATGCAACATGACTAACAAGATCATCTCTAGGATTCTCAACTGGCGCCTCGGCCCTCTCCTCCCCCACCTTTTCTCTCGGAACCAAAGTGGATTCATCAAAGATCGAGTCATTAGTGATAATATCCTTTTGGCTCAGGAGATGATACACGACATCTCTCATGCGAATCGAACACGAACCCCGAACCTCGTGCTGAAGCTTGACATGGCCAAAGCATGTGATAGGGCCGAGTGGTCGTTTCTCAGAGAGGTACTGTTTCGGATGGGATTCCCTAACTGTTGGATTAGCTTTGTGGAGGCATATGTGGAGCACTGCACGTTCTCCGTTTTGATTAATGGTAGTCCCACGACCTTGTTCCCTTCTACCCGCGGCCTTCGTCAGGGGGACCCCCTATCCCCCTCCCTTTTTGTTCTGGTGGCTAACTATCTCTCTCGCTGCCTTGACGGCTTCCTTCGCGACATTCTGAGGATGAACTACAACACGCGTGGCTATGGGCCTCCCATTTGCCACCTCTTCTATGCGGATGACATTATCATTTTTACTCGTGCGAATGATAATGGGCTTGTAGATCTCATGAGTCTTTTGGAACACTACAGTGATACATCTGGCCAGCTAGTCAGTGTTAGCAAGAGAACCTTTATTATGGAACACCACATTGCAAACCATTGGGCCCACCGGATCCACGAGTGTTGGGTTCTATTAGAAACGTCGAGAATGTGCACATTCAAATCTATTAAATAACAAATCCTAACACAGCAGAATCTATAGTTAGGATTAGGACTTACGGTTTTAAAATGATTAGGACTTACGGTTTTAAAATTTTTTGCCGACTCTGAGATGTTTCTGATTTTCGTTGATGGAGATCGTCTGAACACTAAAGTCTAATGGGCGCCTAGACTTGACCTTTCTCGATTCTAATCGAGTCACCGTGGTTCTCCAATCGCTCATCTAGCTCATCGGATCATCTCGGACCTTCGGTTAGTGAATCAGACGCCTCGGACCGCTCGGGAACCATCTTGGACTCGAACCAGGGCTTCTAGACCGATTTGAACCACCCCTGGACCGTGTAGTAGTCTCTGAACTCGAGCTGGACCAGTCAGGGCTTCGCTGGACCGTTCTGAAGCTTTCTGGACCGCCTGGTAGCTGCTGGACTCGAGCTGGGCTGCTAGACCGTTGGGCCGCGCAGACACGACTTGGGCTACTTTCTACTTCGCCGGGCGGAGTGGAGTGTATCTGGGCCGCGCACAGCGCATCTGAGACGCTTTTCACATCGATGGGCTTGCTAAAGCGTGAGCTGGGCTTCGCTAGGTGAGCAACTGGGCCGGGACACGCGCATTTGGGCCAAGAGGAAGCTGGGAGCACGCGGGCTGGTACCGGGCTAGATGCGGGCTTCGCAGGCTGGGATCTGTGAGAGGTACGGGCCTGGATGCGGGCCGCACGACCCGCGAGTTTCTTCTCTTCACCTGGGAACAAAAAGTTCACCTAATTTCGCAAGGAGAAGGAATCGAACCTGCGACCTCCGCACGCAAAGGTAGCGTCGCACACCACTGCACCAAGCGCTATGTTGCGTGAATTTAACGCGGACTATAGGTAAAGATCCTGACAGCGAACTAAAGACGTGAATTAGGCTCGTGCGCGAACTGAAAACCTGGGCGCGAATTTCGTGCGTCCTCGTACAGTAAAATCTGACTGGAAAATAATATATCAAACGAAATACGAATCAACAACCTTCGAATCTTCTATTGTATGACCTTTACACGATCTCTAATAAATCTTGGTGGAGCGATTTATTAGATTTCCCAAAACCTCTTGATCATCTTCTTCTAAGACCTTACGGTGCTAACCGAATTTTCTTTCGAAGAAGAATCTCTCTCTTTCTTTCTCGCTTGAAGAGGCCGAATTTCTCCAGCCCTTCAGGGAGAAAAAACGTTTAAAGCTTGTCCAAGAGGTTAGGGGACCTAGTGTATTTATAGGCTACAATAGGGACCTAAAGGAGGTGCTAAATATGGGCTTATTCCTTAAGGTTTAGGAATCCTTATTATCTTCCATCTCCTTTTCCCATCTAGGATAATATTCCTAATAATTAATTACCTTCTAGAAGAATCCATAGTCTCCTAACCCTAGGTAATATTCTAGAAGGAATATTCTCATCCTTAGGGAATTATGGAATATAATTAATTCCTAATTCCTTAATCTTGGAATTAAATAATAAAACATTCCACTAGAGTAATATTATTGCTCTCCCCATTTACCTCCGAACTACAATTAATTCGTCTCTACTGATTAAATATATTAATCCAATTAATCGATTTATCTCCCCATGTTTAAGATATAACGTCCGTTGATTAATTAAATTACTGACAAAATAATTAATAAACTTCTTATTCATTTCCGAAACTAGTACCACTCAGATCCTTAATCATTATGTCGGATAACACATCCGCCTGCAGGGCTTGAAATAATATTCCTTCCTGAGTTCATTTCGGGGACGTCATCAACCCAGCGCACTGGGACACAGTGACTGTAAATAATTTATAATGACACATCATGTAAACACACTTATTTACCAAAATACCGAGTATGTCATCCTAGCAGAATAGGAATCACCCTTGATATATCAAATAAATAAGTAATGAATACATATGCCCATTTTATATTATCTTACAGCTTAAGAGTACGCATCAATTACTGAAGGTCTAGATTACAACAACGGTCAGTGAGTCTCATAATCTTATCCTTCCGTGGTCCTGTTCAACACTTAAGATAAGTGCTAGTGTAATCCTTCAGTCAAAGACCAACTGAATCAAGAATACACTACAATCTTTTTCCAAGTGGGGTCTCACTGCCAGTCTAGACTGTGAACGAATAGTTTAGTCTTATAAGGAACCGGTAGGTGATCTTTCTGTTCGAAACTCTTCGAACCACACTACCTCAATATAAGACATGGAGTATGATTGCATAAATAAATAAACTGCAAGCATATGTACTTTGACCGA